TTTGTTTTGTTTAGATTGTACATATAAGTGACATGATGTGGTATTTGTCTTCCTCTTTTTCCATTTAGCATAATACCCATAAAGTCCATCCATATTGTCTGTCCTGAATGAAAGGATCTCATCCCTTTTTTGTGACTTTCTTATCTATTCATTTGTTAATGGACACCTGGGCTGCTTGCATATCTTGGCTCTTGTAAATAATGCAGCAACAAATACAGGGCTATTTCAAATTAGTGTTTTCATTTGGGGGAGTGGGGTGGCAAATACCAAGTAGTGGAATTACTAGATCATATGATAATTCTATTTTTAATTTTTTGAGGAACTTCTATACTGTTTTCCACAGTGGCCGCACCAATTTACATTCTCTCCAACAGTCCACAAGTGTTCCTTTTTCTTCACATCCTTACCAACAATTGTTATTTCTTAGACAATAATTTATTGAGGTATGATTTTTTGAGCACTGGTTAATAATAGGTACTGTTTTAACCATGGCAGTGATCTTGAAAATTATGTGGTAGTTTTCCTATTTTAAACATGCAGAAACACGCTTAAGCAGTTGCTTCCGTAAAGATAATAACAGCTTGACAATCTACTGAATGTGCCCTAATTAAATGGAGACAGAAACTGTTAGATCATGGTCAGGGGAGGAATGTCAGCCTGCCAGAGGTTGATTTTTATTAACACTTTTGAATTGGTGGATATAGCAAAGGACCTCAAGGTACCTTAAGGTGTAGGTAAAGAATCTCTAGAATTCATATAGTAAAAGATACCCTCTGTCCTAGAATAAGGTAGAACCTGGAACTAGATTGATTATAGAGAACAAGCACTAGAGTTGTGAACAGCCTAGAATTGGTGAACATCTGTGAAAACACGAGTTCTTCATTTATTCCTAAAAATTTGATTGTCTACCAAGTGCTAAACTAAGAGTAGAAAACAAATAAGACAGAATTCTTGTCCTCAAGAATCTCTGAGGTTAGCGAAGAGCACAGATACATGAACATCCTTTCAGTAGATAATTTCATTGACCACATGGAAGCTATCATTAGACCTTGCATCTGATAGGTGCTTAATAGTTGAATTGACGATTGGTGGTGCAGTGTATGACAAAGGTGAGACATCTGACCCAGTTTGGGAAGGCTTTCCCAGAAAACTTTATGCCCTAATATTAATAAATGGGAACTAGTCCGGTGAGATGGGAGAGAAATGTCTACTAGGAAGACCCTTCTAGCATAATAAGGGCAAAGTCCAGAGGTAAGAGGAGTGGTTTGTATAACTGAACAGTCTATGACAAGGTAAAGGAGGTGTACAGTAAGGCAGACACGGTAATACCAATGAATCAGAACTTGTATCTTGAAGGCAATTAGGAACCTCTGGAATTTTTTTTTTCTTTTTTTTTTTTTTTTTTTTAAAGATCTGTGTGTGACCTACCAGCACCAGTAGTGGGCTCAGTCCTTTCTTCAAAAACAGTTGATGCTCTAGTATTACTAGTTGAATCTCTATGTTTGGGTTTTGACTTCTTATCTTTGCTTAGGTTTGATGACAAATATACTCTGAAGTTGACCTTCATCAGTGGAAGAACAAAGCAGCAGCGAGAGGCCGAGTTCACCAAGTCCATTGCTAAGTTTTTTGACCACAGCGGGACACTGGTCATGGATGCATATGAGCCTGAAATATCCAGGCTCCACGACAGTCTTGCCACAGAAAGAAAAATAAAATAGCCAATTTTAAAAGCAGCCATCTTTCTGCTGGATCATGCTGAATTTCGGGATGAGGGAGAAGGAAGCAGAGAACTTAAAATGGATAAAGTAAGATATGTTAAAAATGTCCCTGTTTTGTCCTGAAATTTTAGTCCATTCTGGATAAATAGGATATTCTAGTTCAGATATGAGAAGTTGTAGCTCTGATATCTAGCTTTAGCCTCCTAGGTCTGTTGATCGTGTTGTTTTGATTTGCTTTTCTAGAAAAGCATTTTTGCTAGCCATACAGACTTCTTCCTACCCAGCAGTACTTTATATCACATAGCTTTGTGCCATGCAGCATTTGAAGACTCAATTTTTAAAATTGTTAACCTATTGCTGACCTTGTTGTGTTAATTCCTGTTTCAACAGCTATTTCTCTTAATTCAGGATACAACTTCTTGTGTATGACAGCTTTCCTTCACACACCATTTTTGTGGGTGTGTATATATCTGACTTGGGGGAGAATTGGGAAAAAACCACAGCTTTTTAATTTGTTTAAAACAGACCTTCTGCCTGTTACATTTTGTGCTTTTAACCAATTAAAGAAGCCAGTGGCATTTTTAGTTTTATATTGTCTTGTTTTCCACTAGTATGTACCTGTCGATTTGTTTGTGCCCTTTATTAACTGCCATTTTCTAAAATTTTTTTCAATAAAAGGAAAGAAGATGTGAAAAAATGGAGTCATAGTCTTGATGAAAGGAATGAACAGAGCAGCAAGTGGTAACGGGCTTACTACTATAGGTTCCTTTTGTTTTCTAGGCTGTTTTACTGGTCAGACACCTATGTGAATCTGTTGGTGAGGAACTGCTAGCTCTCCAGGGATAACAGTAATGACACAGTACTTTGTGCCCAGCCAGTGTTCCAAGTACTTGACGTGTATTAACTCATCAATGCTCACAGCAGTCCCAAGAAGTAGGGACTGTTACTATCCCCATTTTATAGATGAGAAAACTGAGGCACAAAAGTTGAATAATTGTCACACAGCTAGTATTAGAACTAGGATTTAAACCTGGTTTGTGTGGCTCCAGAGTTGTGAGTTGGCATCTTTTCCAGTATTTTCCCACTATAGTCGGAAAAAGACTGAGCACTTGCCCAACTCCTTTGACCTGTAGGAATATTGTCCCTCTGGCTCACAAAAGTACAGTTCCAGCTGAGCCTAGTACCTAAAACTATATTCAGTTTATAAGAAATTAACGCTTATCACATTTTCCTATGGGAATGTTGCCCTATCTATATAGTGCCACACAGTGGGGGGAATATGGAACATCACTGAACAGGGAGCTGAAGCCTTGGATTCTATACTCTTTACTCTTATAAACCTTGGGTAAGTCATGTAATTCTCTGAGGTTCTAGTTTCCTTTTTTCTTCTTCTTCTTTTTTTTTTTTTTTAACTTTCTTTTTAAGGTGATAGTCCTATTCTGTCAGCTATGGAGCTTTTGAAAGTGTATAATAGATAATTGTATTTTTACAATGAAGGAATTATTGTTAGACACAAGGGTCCCAGGGCTTGTGGGCCTAGGGAATAACCCTCTCCACAGTGACTCCTTTGAGTTCTCATACCAGGTGTACCTTTTTGTTTTCATCACAGACCCGTGTCTTGTTTTGTTTTGTTTTGTTTTGTTTTGTTTTGTTTTGTTTTTCACAAAAACTGAATTATGTTGAAATATGTTCTACAGTTTTTGTTTTTTCCTGCTCTCTTCCCCCACCTGTAGCTTGGGTTTGTTTTTGTTTTGTTTTTAACTTAATATTTCTTAGGCACTTTCTCTGTCAGTATATATCAATCAAACTCTTTTTTTTTTTTTTGTTATTTAAAATTTTTATTTTTATTTTTGTAAGTAAACCCAACGTGGGGCTTGAACTCAAGACCCCAAGACCAATCCTATGCTCTACCACTTGAGCCAGCCAGCCACCCCAGGTCAGACTCATTTTTAATAGTTGCATAATTTACCAGAGTATAAAGATTGTAACTATTTCCCTATTAGAAGATATGTTTGTTTCTAGTTTTTCACTATTCCAAGGGAGGAGTGAGTTTAGGGGAGAGGGGGGAAAAGTAGGTCCTCAAGTTGAGAGAGACCAGAAACCTGGGTTGTTTTCCAACTTTATTCTAACTTGTGACCTCCAACAAATCTCGTTTCTTCTTTCAGAAGTATCTGACCCTGTCAAAGAAGTTTTGGATCAAAAGATCAAAAGTATCTTTTGAGATGATTTAGGCTCCTTGCCCCCGGACATGCCCCACATAGAAAACACTTCTTAGGAATATGAAGATGCAAGTCCTGTAATCCCTTCAATCTGCCCATAAACCCCACTTTGAGATTTCATAAGCTGCCTGGATCTCTTAAGGATTTTTTTCCCTGACTCCAGAAACCATTTGAGGCAGTATGATTTTCTAAATAAAGAAGTGGGTTAGCAGCCCGGCCATGTGTTGCACTTGGTCAGCCCCTCTTCCCACCCCCTGCCCCACTTGTGGTATTTTATGACAGTTTCCATCACTTGAACAGGCTCAAGCCTCAGCGTGCGTTTGTGGGGCTGCAGAGCACCTCTCGCCAGCTTTCAGCACCTACAGCAGCCAGTGGTCACCCCAGCCCATTTTGAGTGCCACTTGGCTGCTCTTCTCCCTCTTGAGTAGGTCTGCAGCACCCCTCCCACTGGGAAACGCTGACCCCCATCACATTTTCCTCCTGGCTGTCAACTCCCCACACCCACCTAGGATGGACTTGCATCTTCCAAAATATAGAAGACTGAGGAGAATGGGGAAAGGTATCTAATGTTATTTGCAAATTTCAACTGCTAACATGTATTTAATGTTTGATGCTTTTACATATCTTTGTTTTAGAAACAGTCTTTTTGCTTCGGAACAACCTGATAGAATGGCAGAAAATGCAGAGTTCCTTTGAATAAACACCAGTGGTATTTTTGGGGGTCCAGGTTCCTCCTAAGTTGAGAGCCCTTTCTCTCAACAACTGTTTACCCCTGGCTAGACACTCCTCTCCCTAGCCCAAACTTTGTCTCCCTGATGGAAACCACCTGAGAATACTGCTAAATCACAATATTCTTTGTAGAGCTTATCCATCCTCTTGCTGCTGACAGCCTCATGAAATAGAATATTCTTAACAACCCAGCCCAAAGGTACATGTGCTCAACTCAGATGACTTCTGATATCGACAACTACTTTAAGAATAATTGCAAGGATTCATAACCTTTTTTTGTGCCCTGGATCTTTTTCACAGTCTGGTGTTATCTATGGCCCCTGATTCAGAATGAGAGTTTGAAATGCATAAATACATTTATTTTTCCCCCAATTTATTTATTTATTTTTAAATTGAAATATGGTTGACATACAATACTATGTTTCAGGTGTACAGCATAGTAATTTGATGCTTCCGTACATTCTGAAATGCTCAGTGCTCACCATCTGAACCCATACAATGTTATTATAATATTAACTATATTCCCTATGCTGTACTTTACATCCTGTGACTTATTTTATAGCTGGAAATGTATACCTCTTATACCCCTTTTATAGCTGGAAATGTATACCCACAACCCCTCCAGCAACCCTCTGTTTGTTCTCTATATTTAAGAGTCTCTTATGTTTTGTCACCCTCCCTGTTTTTATACTAGTTTTGCTTCCCGTTCCCTTATGTTCATCTGTTTTGTATCTTAAAGTCCTGTAATGAGTGAAGTCATACGATATTTGTCTTTCTCTGACTAATTTTGCTTTAGCAAAATACCCTCTAGTTCCATCCACGTAGTTGCAAATGGCAAGATTTCAAGATTTCATTCTTTTTGATTGTCGAGTAATACTCCACTGTGTGTGTGTGTGTGTGTGTGTGTGTGTGTGTGTGTGTATGCCACATCACCTTTATCATTCATCCATCGATGGACATTTGGGTTCTTTCCATACTTTGGCTGTTGTTGATAGTGCTGCTGTAAACATTGGAGTGCATCTGCCCCTTTGAAACAGCATACCTGTATCTCTTGGATGAATACCTGCTAGTGCAATTGCTGGGTGTAGGGTAGTTCTATTTTTAATTTTTTGAGGAACCTCCATACTGTTTTCCAGAGTGGCTATACCAGTTTGCATTCCCACCAGCAGCGCAAAAGAGATCCTCTTTCTCCGCATCCTCACCAACATCTGTTGTTGCCTTAGTTGTTAATGTTAGCCATTCTGGTAGGTGTGAGGTGGTATCTCATTGTGGTTTTGATTTGTATTTCCCTGGTGGTGAGAGATGCTGAGCATTTTTTCATGTGTTGGCTGGCCATCTGGATGTCTTTGGAGAAGGGTCTATTCATGTCTGCTGCCCATTTCTTCACTGGATTATTTGTTTTTTTGAGTGTTGAGTTTAAGTTCTTTATGGATTTTGGATACTAACCCTTTATCTGATGTGTCATTTGCAAATATCTTCTCCCATTCTGTCGGTTGCCTTTTCGTTTTGCTGAGTATTTCCTTCAGTGTGCAGAAGCTGCTTTTTTTGTTGTTGTTTGTTTTTGTTTTTTTTATGAGGTCCCAATAGTTCATTTTTGCTTTATTTCCCTTGCCTTGGGAGATATGTTGAGTAAGAAGTTGCTGCGGCCAAGGTCAAAGAGGTTTTTGCCTGCTTTCTCCTCTAGGATTTTGATGGCTTCCTGTCTTACACTTAGGTCTTTCATCCATTTTGAGTTTATTTTTGTGTATGGTGTAAGAAAGTAGTCCAGGTTAATTTTTCTGCATGTCGCTGTCCAGTTTTCCCAGCACCACTTCCTGAAGGGACTGTCTTTAATTCCATTGGATATTCTTTCCTGCTTTGTCAAAGATTAGTTGGCCATACGTTTGTGGGTCCATTCCTAGGTTCTGTATTCTGTTCCATTGATCTGAGTGTCTGTTCTTGTGCCAGTACCATACTGTCTTCGTGATTATAGCTTTGTAATACAGCTTGAAGTTCGGGATTGTGATGCCTCCAACTTTGGTTTTCTTTTTCAAGATTGCTTTGGCTATTCGGGGTCTTTTCTGATTCCATACAAATTTTAGGATTGTTTGTTCCAGCTCTGTGAAGAATGCTGGTGTTATTTTGATAGGGATTGCATTGAATATGTAGACTGCTTTGGGTAATGTTGACATTTTAACAATATTTGTTCTTTCTGTCCAGGAGCATGGAATCTTTTTCCATTTTTTTGTGTCTTCAATTTCTTTCATAAGCTTTCTATAATTTTCAGTGTATAGATTTCTCACCTCTTTGGTTAGATTTATTCCTAGGTATTTTATGGTTTTTGGTGCAATTGTCAATGGGACCGATTCCTTGATTTCTCTTTCTGTTGCTTCATTGTTGGTGTATAGGAATACAACTGATTTCTGTGCATTGATTTTATATCCTGCCACTTTGCTGAATTCATGGATCAGTTCTAGCAATTTTTTTTTGGAATCTTTTAGGTTTTCCATGTAGAGTATCATGTCATCTGCGAAGAGTGAAAGTGTGACGTCCTCCTGGCCAATTTGGATACCTTTTATTCCTTTGTGTTGTCTGACTGCTGAGGCTAAGACTTGCAATACTGTGTTGAATAACAGTGGCGAGAATGGACATCCCTGTCTTGTTCCTGACCTTAGGGGGAAAGCTCTCAGTTTTTCCCCACTGAGGATGATATTAGCATTGGGTCTTTCATATATGGCTTTTATGATCTCAAGGTATGATCCTTCTATCCCTACTTAAGGGTTTTTATCAAGAAACAATGCTGTATTTTGTCAGATGCTTTCTCTGCATCTATTGAGTCGATCATGTGGTTCTTGTCGTTTCTTTTATTGATGTGGTGAATCACATTGATTGTTTTGTGGACATTGAACCAGCCCTGCATCCCAGGTATAAATCCCACTTGGTCATGGTGAATAATTTTTTTAATGTACTGTTGGATCCAGTTGGCTAATATCTTGTTGAGGATTTTTCCATCCATGTTCATCAGGGAAATTGGTCTGTAGTTCTCCTTTTTAGTGGGGTCTTTGTCTGGTTTTGGAATCAAGGTAATGCTGGCTTCATAGACCGAACTTGGAAGTTTTCCTTGCATTTCTATTTTTTGGAACAGCTTCAAGAGAATAGATGTTAACTATTTAAATGTTTGGTAGAATCCCTGGAAATCCATCTGGCCCTGGACTCTTGTCTTTTAGGAGATTTTTGATTACTAATTCAATTTCTTTACTGGTTATGGGTCTGTTCAAATTTTCTATTTCTTCCTGTTTCAGTTTTGGCAGTTTAAAGGTTTCTAGGAATTTGTCCATTTCTTCCATATTGCCCATTTTATTGGTGTATAATTGCTCATAATATTCTCCTCTTGTTTGTATTTCTGCTGTATTGGTTGTCATCTCTCCTCTTTCATTCTTGATTTTATTTATTTGGATCCTTTCCTTTTTATTTTTGATCAAACTGTCTAGGGGTTTATCAATTTTGTTAATTCTGTCAAAGAACCAGCTTCTGGTTTCATTGATCTCTTTTTTTTTTTTTTTTTTTTTTTTCCCCTGATAGTATTGATTTCTGCTCTGATCTTTATTATTTCCTACCTTCTGCTTTTGGGTTTTATTTGCTGTCCTTTTTCCAGCTCTTTACTTTCCAGCTCCAAGCTTTAAGGTGTTAAGTTTAGGTTGTATATCTGAGACCTTTCTTCCTTCTTTAGGAAGGCATGGATTGCTATATACTTCTCTCTTAGGACTGCCTTTGCTGTGTCCCAGAGGTTTTGGGCTGTGGTGTTATTTTCATCCGTTTCCATGTAGTTTTTAATTTCCTCTTTAACTGCTTGGTTAGCCTATTCATTCTTTAGTAGGATGTTCTTCAGTCTCCAAGTATTTGTTACCTTTCCACGTTTTTTCTTGTGGTTGATTTCGAGTGTCATAGCATTGTGGTCTGAAAATATGCACGGTATGATCTCAGTCGTTTTGTACTTGTTGAGGCTAATTTGTGTGCCATTATGTGATCTATTCTGGAGAACGTTCCATGTGTACTGGAGAAGAATGTATATTCCGCTGCTTTAGGATGGAATGTTCTGAATACATCTGTTAAGTCCATCCAGTCCAGTGTGTCATTCAAAGCCATTGTTTCTTTGTTGATTTTCTGTTTAGATGATCTGTCCATTGCTGTAAGTGGGGTGTTGAAGTCCCCTAGTATTATGGTGGTATTATGAATGAGTTTCTTTATGTTTGTGGTTAATTGGTTTATATATTTGGGTGCTTCCACATTTGGAACACAAATATTTACACTTGTTAGGTCTTCTTGGTGAATAGACCCCTTAATTATGATATAATGCCCTTTCTTATCTCTTGTTACAGTCTTTATTTTAAAGTCTAGATTGTCTGATACAAGTATCAAGGATACAAGTATGGCTACTACACCTTTCTTTTGTCGACCATTAGCATAATAGATGGTTCTCCGTCCCCTTACTTTCAATCTGAAGGTGTCTTTAGGTCTAAAGTGGGTCTCTTGTAAGCAGCATATAGATGGATCTTGTTTTCTTATCCATTCTGTTACCCTATGTCTTTTGATTGGAGCTGTTAGTCCATTGACGTTTAGAGTGAGTACTGAAAGATACGAATTTATTGCCATTATGTTGCTTGTAGAGTTGGAGTTTCTGGTGGTGTTCTCTGGTCCTTTCTAGTCTGTGTTGCTTTTAATCTTTTTTTTTTTTTTTTTATCTTTTTTCCTCTCAGAGAGTCCCCCTTAAAATTTCTTGCAGGGCTGGTTTAGTGGTCATAAACCTCTTTAATTTTTGTTTGGGAAACTTTTAATCTCTCCTTCTATTTTGAATAACATCCTTGCTGGCTGGATAAAGAATTCTTGGCTGCATATTTTTCCAGTTCAGCACATTGAATATATCCTGCCACTCCTTTCTGGCCTGCCAAGTTTCTGTGGATAGGTCTGCTGCAAACCTGATCTGTCTTCCCTTGTAGGTTAAGGGCTTTTTTCCCCTTTCTGCTTTCATGATTCTTTCCTGGCCTGAGTATTTTGTGAACTTGACTGTGATATGCCTTGTTGATGGTCGGTTTTTGTTGAATCTAATGGGAGTCCTCTGTGCTTCCTGGATTTTGATGTCTGTGTCTTTCCCCAGGTTAGGAAAGTTTGCCGCTATGATTTGCTCATATAACCCTTCTACCCCTTTTCTCTTTCTTCATCTTCTGGGACACCTATGATTTTTATGTTGTTCCTTTTTAATGAGTCACTGATTAATTTTTAAATTGTGGTCTTTTGTCTTAGTCTCTCACTTTTTTTCTGCTTCATTCTTCCTAAGTTTGTCCTCTATAATGCTGATTCACTGCTCTGCCTCATATCCTTACTGCTGTGGCATCCATTCGAGATTGCAGCTCAGTTATTGCATTTTTTATTTCATCCTGACTAGCGTTTACTTCTTTTATCTCCGCAGAGAAGGATTCTAATCTGTTTTTGACCCCAGCTAGTATTCTTATTATCATGATTCTAAATTCTGGTTCAGACATCTTGCTTGTATCTGTGTTGATTAAGTTCCTAGCTGTCATTTCTTCCTGCTCTTTCTTTTGGATTGAATGCCTTCGTTTCGTCATTTTGAAGAAAAGGAATTGGTAAGGTAAAAAAAAATTAAAAAATTAAAAACAACACACACACAAAATCAAATAAATAATATAGATCCTAGGTGTGTTGTGGTCTGGTTCTTGAAAGGAGTTTAGTAGATTAGGGAAAAAAAGGGATAAAAAAGAAAAAACATTTGAAAATTTGAGAAAATGAATACCGTGAAATGAAATGATGGAAGTAAAATAGAATTTGAAAAATATAAAAAAAAGTAAAAAATATAGTAGAAAATAATAAGGAAGAATATTTTTAATAAAAACTGAAAATTAAAATAATTTCTCTTTCTGTATTCATGAAAAAGAAAAAAAAATTTGAATAGATGTACCAGTGAACAGACTGAAATACGATTGAAACTACATCGTTTTCCCCTACAGGTCAAACTATGAAGCACTTTATAGTCCATAAACTAAGCAGGCGGCGAGATTTGTGTTGTTCCTGAAAAGTGAGGTTGGCCCAGTTTGGCGGGGCTTAGTTTAAACAGCTCCATTCTCCACTAGATGGCACTGCTTACCTTACTGGGTGCATTGTTATGGTGCTTGTAGGTGGGTATGCGCATGCGCGGGAGGAGTGAAAATGGCGTCGCCCAGCTATTCAGTCTCAAGTGCGGGAACTCTGTGCTCTCCCCAACCAGCAACCGCACACCCGTCCTTTGTCTCCGGCTTCTGTCCACTCCCTGCTTTTACACTGTCTGTGACCAAGCCTTCAGTTTGCCAGGAGGCACCTCTCCTGGGTTTTACCTCAGATGCGGCTGTATTTCCTAACCCCTCAATTCTGAGGGACTGTGGCTTTGACCCGCTCAGATCCTTTGGGAGAGGGTCTCACCGAGCAATGGCCAGTGCCGGCCACACCCAGGAATATTCGCAGGATTGTGCTGCTGCCGATGCCCGGAGACTGCAACTGGGTGCCAGCCTGCCCCAGAAAAAGTTAACACGATCATATAGCACCAGCGTTTCAGGGATTATGGGAAATCACAACATACATCTGGTACCAGGTTTCACCCTTAACGACCTTGTTCCAGCACCAGCGAATGTGGGTGTTCTCTGGGGTCTGCTGCGACCAGCCGGCCACACAGTCTCTACCAAATGTCCTTCCAGCAATGGAACTGCTTCTCTCTGTGTGGCCCGTGGACCTCCCGGACGCTATTCTGCTCCTGGAGATTCTCCCTTCCCACCAGAGCACCACCAGGTATAGAGCTGTGGAGTTTCAGACTCTGCTCCCCCTGTTTATAGAGCCTTAATGGAATTTAAACCCTCTCCTTTCTCCCTTTTTTAGTTAAGTCCCTGCGGCTGTTTCCACTTTTCCACTTTCTCTCTAGCTGCTTTGGGGGGAGGGTGCTTTTCTCATACTCCCTGCCCCCCCCCCCCCCATCTTCTCTGTCCGCAAGCAAAAACAGCTCCCTGCCCTTTGCGGCCTCTCTCCTCCCCAGTTCACCTGTCCGCACTGTGTACCTGCTTAATTTTGTGGTTCATGTTGCGCAGATTGTTGTGTTCATCCTCAAATCAGTTTTCTAGGTGTGCAAGATGGTTTAGTGTTGATCTGGCTGTATTTCACGGACGCGAGACACAAAAAAAACTTTCATGCTGTTCTGCTATTTTGTCTTCTCCGGAAATCCATAAATACATTTAAATAATTTATTCCCTGTTAGAAATAGGGTTGGAGAAGATGGTTGCAAGCTCTGAGTACTGGGAAAATAGGTTCAGAGGCCGGTAGTTGCTCAGAAGGTGCCCCGGTTGTTGCTTACTTTCCAATCGGTGAATCCCACCATTAATGGATTTCCTCACTAATCTGGGAGCCTTGGCTCTCCACCCTATTATAACTAGTGACACTAATATTCATCATGAGTGGGCAGCAGGTTCCTCCTTTCAGACAGCAGTTACAGACACACCCCTACAGGAGCATGAAAAGAGGGAAATCCCTTACTTCTGTGGGCAGAAACCAGGTGAATTTTCTAAACTTCAGCTAGTTTGCTTGGGAGAGAAGGGATTCGGATACAGAATGCCTATTAAGGAAGAATGGCAACTGTTGAGTTGTCTTAACAGCCAAACCCCTCCTACAATTTATCAGGCCAAGCTTAGATCTGTTCAGAGACCACAGTAAAGGACTGGGAACTTTTTACAGGGGGTCTTGACTCCTGTGAGGGAGCTTTGGCCTTTTGGGAAGAGTTCCCTGTGTCAAACCCTCTGACAATGGGAAACCATTGATGAATATTGAGTGGTATTCAAGCTCTTAGTTCCCTGGATTTGGCTTATAATGCTGTTAAAGGGGACCCACTAGAGAATGAAGAACTGTTAGGAGAAGCAATCTACCATGAGCCCTGAGCACCCCTGCGTGTTCTCACATGTGAATGTAAGACCCTGACCACTTCCTGGGGCATATCTTCGTGTTCTGGCAGTAAGCAATCTTGAGAATTGAAGTAATGTCTCTTCCCTACTTTGCACTATAAAAATGTTGAATCTCCCAAGCTCAGGGTTCTTTTCCTGTGACACATCCCCCTGCATGTGTAGGCATCCATCTATCTAGACCTACCCCAAGTCACTTTTGTTGGGGAGGGGGGCTTGAAGAACTAGCACAAACCTGCTCACATTGTTTCCTGTAAGTGTAAAAGTTCTTTGGGTTTGATCTGGGAGTCTCATGTCTTCTACCAGTATCCATGATAAAATAGTAGTCTAACCTGTTAGTTGCAAGTAGGATAAAATTGTAGCCCTTTCATAGGCTACTCTGACAGTTTGGGTAACAAGGACAGGATACAGGTAGCCATGACTTTCTACAAGAGAAAGGACATGGGTCGGGTGAGAGGATGTGAGAAAATAACCTGGGGTCTGGTAGGAAATACTGCTGAGCAAGTGGGTAAGGGTCCTTCACTGTCCCACCTGTTAATGAAATTTTTGAAGCAAAACAGCAAGAGGTAGGATTGAAACACATTGCCCAAATGGTACTTAGGTTGTTGTTCACTCTTTTCTGGACAGGAGGAGGAAAGAATGTTTTGACAACAAGGCAGTAAGCCTGTGGCCCCAGCTGAAGGCTCTATGGCTGTGGCTGATGCGTAGAGGGTTCCCTGAAGGTGAAATAAATGGCAATAAAGATACAGAGTTTGAATGGACCAAATATATTAGGAGTTTGTTATGACCAAGCAGGTAGCCATTTGAAGTGAAAGTAAATACATGACCTTGTTTACTGACACAAGGCCAGTCTCTATAACCCCTGATCCTTTTCTCCCTTTGTTTTAAGGAAAGAAGCTATTTATGTTCAGGATCTTTGAGGAGGAGAGGGACTCCCTTTTAACAACTCTACTGAATATAAGCATCTAAGTCACCATCCTACTTGGTCCCATGGGCACAGGGAGCCCTGGGCACAGGAATGGTCAGAAGTACCAAGGACTGTGGGGCAGATCCATGGTAGTATGCAAGGTGGGCAAACAAAAAAATAGCCCCTGAACCCTAGGTGCTCCTCAGAGCCAAGAGGTACACTAGGGAAAAGGCAGCACTGACCCCAGAGCAGGAGTCAGAGAAAAGACCTTCCTGCTGACCCAGCTGCCCCCTGCAGGCTAGCCTCTCCTACTCCTGTGACTTCCTCGAACTCTTGGGTTGGAACATGATTTCTTGGTGGCCGTGGCTGTGCCTTGCAATATCGGTCTCAGATTGCTTGGTCTGAGTCCCTGTAGTTGGTGGGGGGAGTGGGGAAGTGCTTGACTTCACCTGGCAGGGTTTGGGCAAAGTCTGTAGTAGGAAAGGAAAACTAAATAACTGTAGGGGAGCCTCTACACTGGCTCAGTGTTACTGTTGTATGGCTTTCACAGTAATGTGTTATTGACAGCAATTATACATTAAATTGAAGTGTGAAAGTTTGCAAGTCTCCCATTCAGGGACTACTGCTTATAGAGAAGTGATTCCTGTTTCCTCTTGAGTAGCATAACAAAATACAGAATCCTAAGAGGTGAGAAAGGAAAATCAACAGCTTTAGTTAGGTGAGAACTTGGTGACTGCTGGAGTATTCAGCCCATTTCCTAGTATAGCAGTGCCACGTATCCTTTGCAGGCACCAAGTACACCCTTTGAAAAAGTTGGACAGCTGGGAGGCTACTACTGAGCTATTGTTGAAATGATGTCCGACCTGTAGAAGCCTGGTACCTGGCCTAACATCCCCACTTTGGGTTACACGAACTCAAACTTGAAATTAACAAAAAGCCCAGCAGCCTTCCCTAGTCAAATGGAAATGATGCATTTTGGGGATGCAGCCGCTGCCCATCTTAGTTTTACTTGAAAAAGTGATACCCACTCCTTTGGAAAGACTGTATTCCAAGACTCAGCTGCCTGAAGCAAAGCCACTGGCTCAAAAGGGCCCTTGATTACAGAGACTTTCCCAGTCAGATGCCTGAGCCTGGTTCACTTATGGTCCAGCTAAGTTAAGAGCTGTCAATGTCAAGTGATGTTTCTGGAAACTGACTACAGTAAAGGCTGGTCAGCACAATGGGCTGAATTGAAGGCTATGACCCTCGTCCTAAGCATTCCTTAGAGACCAAACATGTTATATTTTTACTGACTCGGGCTATGGTCTATCACTTGGCAGACATAGACTGTCAGATTAAAGACACTCTTGGGGGCCACAAACTAAAAATGAATTGCAGCTATTAGTTGAACTGTCTGGATCACTCATGTAGATGCTCACAGTGGGGGCTTATTCACTGAAGACCAACTGGAATCAAATTGCTGACGGAGCTTGTAACCACTCAGATTGCCACCATCATTGCCTGTATCCATCATCATACCAGATATGACATTACATGCACCGTCATAGCCTGGGCACAGAGTAAAAGTTTTATGCTTCTGGTGCAGAGGCTACCACTACATGCCAGGTTTGTGACTCCTGTTAAAAGTCCTGTTAGTCTAGGGGCACCTGGGTGGCTCAGTCGGTTGAGCCTCCGACTTCAGCTCAGGTCATGATCTCGCAGTCTTTGAGTTCAAGCCCTGCGTCAGGCTCTGTGCTGACAGCTCAGAGCCTGGAGCCTGCTTAGGATTCTATGTCTCTGTCTCTGCCCCTCCCCTGCTCATGCTCTGTCTCTCTCTCTGTCAAAATAAATAAACATTAAAAAAAGAAAAAAAAAAAGTCCTGTTAGTCTAGCCATGAGTGAAGCCACATAGCCCAGGCATGACCTCCATCCACTTCTGGCTGACTAACTCTGTCAGGCCTTTGGTTCCCTCTTGAGGTTACCAATAGTGCTTCAACAGGATACTTTTTCAGGTTACAGTGTTGCTGTTCTAGTCAATCAGCCAACTCTACCCTGTTTTGATCTTGAAACTAATCTGTCTCATGATTTTGTTTTCCTTGACCACATACATTCTGACAGTGGTGACTCTTTATTGTGAAAACCACTCAACAGCAGAGGGCTGATAATCAAAGTATTTGATTGACTTTCCACTCCTCCATCCACAGGTATCGACTATTGTTGAATGTTGGGACAGCCTACTGAAAAAATAGCCTACAGTCACAAGATTTCTGACTACTTCACTTACCTTGTCCTGGTCAATACACCTTTGTAAAGCAGTTTGGCCACTGAATGTGGCTGTCCCCAGAAAGTGGTCACTTTGTCTTTACTGCAGTATTAAGATTCTCCAGAAAAAAAAGGCTCATTTCCTGGCTTGAAGACAGGCAGATAGAGTGAATTCTCCTTTACCCCAACTTTTGTCCTATTCAGGTTTCCAACAGATTGGATGAAACCCACCTATTTTTGACAGGGCAGTTTGCTTTACTGGATCTACTGAGTCAAATGGTAATCTGATCAAGGAACATCCTCAGACATGCCCAGAATAATGCTTAATCAAATATCTGGGGACCCCGTGTCCCAGTCAAAGCGATGCATAAAATTAACTCTCATAGCTGCTTATGGTGTAATGATCAAAATGAGAGGGATTGGAGAGTGTTGTGTAGATTTATCCTGAAAATTCTGTTTTCAGCCCTGACCATTGTTAGGCATGATGTTATATTTGCCCTAACAGCATCCCCAGGCCCACCTTGTTACTACAACTTCCAGGTGGCAGCCTAGTCACATTGAATTCTGGTTCTCATTGAATTCTGTTTCAGGCACTTGGATTCTCTCATTGGTTTGACATGGTCCTAGATCATGACATTTGGAAAAAGAGTCACCTCTAGAGCCTTTCTCTGAAAGGAAAATGGCCTAGTACAATTCTACCAAGCTGTTGCAAACTCCATAAACTTGACTGACTACTTGGTTTGACATCCCCCACTAGATGGCTCTGACCACAACTTGATAGTCATTCCCTTTAACCTACTGAGAAGTCTTATCGGAAACATCAGGTGCACTTGCAGCTCCTATTCCTCTCTGTAAAATGCACAACCTCTACATGTCTCCGTCACCCCCATTCTTGTAGCTATTGCTGTTTCCTTATGGGGTCCACCTCACTGTTGGTGTGGACATATGGGACAGTTTGGGCCAACTGCCATCAGACCGTCTTTCCAAAAATAAGGCCTGGTTTCAATCATACTTAAGTGGATGGGGACTCTGAAGCCTACCAGGTATCAGGAGGCCTCATTAGTGACACTGTCAACCTGTGTCCCCTAATTGATAATAGGTCCCAGTTAGGAGGTCCCAACAATTGTAAACAGGGGTATCACATATGACCTCAGGACTATACCTTCTATGTGGAAGTCAGGCATTAACTTGCCCCCTCCCTGAAAACATCGTGCCTTGTTCCGTAGGGAGGGTCATAAGCAACCTTCAAGTGTTTAAAGAAGAACCACCATTAGATCATGTAGCCCTCAGATGACTGTAGAGATTCCTCCAAGATGAAGCTGCCTTTGGTTACACAGGGGAACTTCCCGGAGGGTTGGCTGATTTATTTATGCACATTCTGCAAGAAGTTATCCTATCTCGAGGGTCATCCTGTTTGAAATGTTGATATGAAATTCATCCCTGACTTTAGCTGAAGGCAACAATGATACCACCTCAGCCCTGGAAGGCATTTGGGTGAGCCTCAGTTCACTGGCCAATGTGGTTATGGATGATAGAATTGCCCTTGACTTCCTTGTGGGCCCAGGTAGAGTCTGCAAACACTAATACATTCTCTGTACCCAGATTAATGCCTCAGGCTGGGTTTAAGGTCAATACAGATATGAGAATGGCACCCAGCTTTCTAAAGCAGACCTTGATGGCTTATGGTTGGTTGGTTTTCTTGTTTTGTTTTTTTTGTTTGTTTTTTTATGTTGTTTGTTTTTCTACCTAGTTGAGCCCTGGCCCTTGGGTATGGGTAAGGTCAGTTTTGTAGATTGGTCTCATCCTGTTGCTTGGAGTTTTGTTGATACTATCCTTTTAGGATGGATTAAGTCCCATTTCTGTCATATTAATCAGGGTGGCCAATAGAGTGGCAAACAAAATTCATCAGAAGTGATATGTAAGGTACTGTGATGGTTGGAAGAGGAGTAACTATTTTAACATGGAGGCCTAGGAGGTTACAGGAAGTGAAACTTGTTTCATTTGAGCCATGAATGAGGATGAGTGCCAAGAGTGCCCATTTTACAGATGAGAAAACTGAGGCACAGGAGTTAAATAACTTGCCAAGGTCACTGAGGTAGGGAGTGGGAAGTCTGGATTTGAGCCAAGATCTTATCGCCTCCAAATATAGAGATTGCAACTCACTGTCTCAGGCATAAGACCAAGACCACCAGTCAAAGAATTGACAGAAATCTGGCATTAGTTTTAGATATTTTTCTAAAATTGACTTGGTGATTAATCTACAGAATTGGTGATTGTGAGTTTGGAGAAGTCTGGGTGAAGAGCCCTAGGACTTTGTGGGAGCCAATCTTTAAAAACAAATGTTTTAGACAAATAATAAGGTTTACAGAATAATAAAATGAACCACCTTAAAAAATTAGTCCCTTGGGTATCCTTAATCATGTCCTACTCCCTGCACTCTCAGAAGTAACTACTCCCCTGAATTTAGTATTTATTATTCCTATGCATTTTCTTCAACACTATATGGTATTGTTTTACAAGTTTTAAAACTATATATGGTATTTGGTTAAGGGTTCCCAAGACCACCCCTAGGTTCATAGACTCACTAGAAGGACTCATGGGACTCAGCCTAATAGTTGCACTCACAGCAACTTTATTACAGCAATGTAGTAAAGACACATTGAATCATAAGAGAAAAAGACACAAGTGGAGTCTGAAGGAATCCATGTGTATTTCGTATGCTCTCTCCTTCTCCTGAGGGGTTGCACTAAGCACACTTTCCCCCAGCAAGGAAAATGCAGCATGTGCACCATGTTTCTGCCTAGGGAATCTGGGGACTGGTATGTCTGCACCCTCTGCCTGGCATGAACCAAAATTCCAGACTCAGAAGAAAAGCAGGTGTTCAGAATAAGCTATATTGTGTTCAAATCGTCTGAGCAGAGTCCACATTTATTAATTGGAATTCTATAGAATTATGTCAATATGAACTCATGGGTTTTTATTCAATGGGTTATAACACTATTATTTTGTCAACATATAATCATGTACACACGTATAAAATAACATATAATTTTAATTTTTTTAGGGGGGAGGGGTTCGTCTAATGCGCTGGATCTCTGGTTCTTTTTGTGGAGTTCTTTCTGGCGGGCCGGAACCTTTGCTGGACTCCCAGGCTGTTCGGGGAAATTTTAGGCGGTGATACCTATGAGCTGACAGGCAACCAATAGATACGAGCGTGGGGCAAGGGGTCTGAGGGGAGGGATGAAAGGGGAGGAAATGGAAGGGTGGGGGGCGGAGCCAGGTTGCTGCCCGGCCCACGGGAGCAGAGGTAGGCCCAGGGCCTGAGCCAAAGCCAATCTCGGGGCTAAACTGGAGCTGGTGGTGGTCGGGGAGAGCAAGGGGCAGGTCCACACGGTGTCTGGGACTGGGCTAGGGGCGCGGGAGAGAAAGGACTGTGGCGGCGGGGCAGCGAGGGGGCGGGGCCTCGCCTGCGCCCGTCCCATGGGGGCGGGGCCGACTCTGGGCAGCGGCCAACTGCGGGTCCAACCGCCGGCCAGCTGCCGCCTTCGCGCGTCCCCGCCTTTGCTTCCCGGCTGGGTAGTCTGGACGTCCGGGTCTGTCGGACCTTCTCTCCGTGGCCGTGTCGCCCTTTTTTTTTTTTTTTTTTTTTTTTTTTCAGTTTTCGTGTTGCTTCCGTGTCTTCCGCAGTCTCTCTCCCTCTCCCCCCTGCGTGGTTCATTCTCCCGCGCTTCGGTGTCCGAGACCTGAGAGCTGCCCGGCGCCCAGCTCTGCTCTAAGAGAGATGGAGGAGCCGGGGTCCCGTGAAGGTGAGCGGGACTTCGACATTGCCGAGATCCCCGAAAAGTGGGGCACTCTGAGTGTGGGGACAGGCTCGGCGGCACCGCCTGGGCTTAGGAAATCCAGTCTGAGGGGAATATTGAGTCAGAGCCCTCCAGTGGGCCAGGAATTCAGACATGGCCAGAGAGTATTCTTGGCTAGTCTATTTTTGTTTTCCTTCCAACGAAGCCAAACCTAAACCGTAGAATTACCATTTTAGAGATGAAAGGGAACCAAGCCAGGGGCAGCCCTTACCAGAAAGGGTTGTATGGGTTGTAGAGTCCCGAGCTGCAACTTAGGAGACCTGAATCTTGGTCCAGGCTTGCTGCTACTAACTTAGGTGGCCTAATATAAGCTTATTCCCCTCCGAGGGCCTGAGTTTTCCCATGTGTACAATGAGAGGGATTTGGAGTGCTGGATCTCAACAGGCCTGACAAAGGATGGGTGCTTTTTAAATATTAATTGTTAAGAATAAATAAATGAGTTAGGGAGGCCTCTTTCTGGGGTTCACTGATGGCTGCCTGCTGCACTGAATTAACTGGAGTCTTTGGAATTACGTTGTTCTTTTATGCTGAGAAATAGGTGGCATTATCCTCATTACAAGTCAGAAAAAAGAGACTCAGAGATAAAATGACTTGCTAGTAAGTGTCAAAGCACATTACACTTCAAAGTCCAGGCTACACTGTACTCTCTCCCAGTAAGAGAGCAGGGAGGATTATATGGAGTAGCAATTAATAGCTTGAGTTCTCTGCTAACGTGAACGACACCAAAGCAGAACTGTATCTAATCCTTCTCTATCCTTAGTTCCCAGTATATGGTTTGTGTTAAAGTTTGGGTTTCAATGCCAGAGTCATCAATGCCATAAGTGAAATTGTGAAGACATCGAAAGTTTTAATATTTTTACTTATATAGTGCTTTAAAGTTTATAAAGCACTTTTGAGTAGTTCTTCATATTGGTCATCTTATATAGGTATTATCTACATTTTACAAGCATAGGAGTCCCAAGACCTAGAGAGATTAAGTGACTAGCACCAGGTCACACGGAAGTATAGATGGGATGTGAATCAAGCCCCATATGACAAGCTGTGCTTCCGCTTTGGTGCTGTCCCCCTACCTCTCCCTCTCCTTTTTCCTAGTTGCTCCTCCCCACTCCATGCCTATTCTTTGCTTTATTGTTATCACCCAGGGAATTCATGGGTGTGAACTAATAATCATGTGTTAACTGATCATTAAAAGTGTGGTATTCACTTGTAATTAATGTGTGGGCACATGAGAGTTTAAATACAGTCTTTCCCAGAAGCGTAGACGGATTTAAATACTTTTAAGAGAGAGTTGTAACTGTTACCATCATCATCATCATCATCATCATCACCATCCACAGGTTTCAAGGAATAAGACTACCCTTGATCCTTGAACAACACAGCTTAGAATTGCAGTTTCACTTAAAGAAGCATTTTTTAAATAAATATAGTACAGTACTATAAATGTGTTTTCTATAACTTGTGATTTTCTTAACATTTTCTTTTCTCTAACATTATTGTAAGAATACAGTATATAATACATCTATACATACAAAATATGTGTTAATTATTTATGTTATTGGTAAGGCTTCCAGTCAACAGTAGGCTATTCGTAGTTTTGAGGGGAGTCAAAAGTGATACACAAAGTTTATACCCCCCAGAGTTGGGGTCAGCACCCCTAATCCCTGTGTTGTCCAACAGTCAACTGTAGAATATGTAGTGATTGACAGTCTAAAAATAACTGCCATATATTGAGCTCATACTATGGCATGGGCTCTGTAACAGCCACTTTAATTTTTAGCTTAATTCTCTCAACAACTCTACTGAATTTTATATATGAGGATCCTGAAACATTAGGAAAGTTAAATAACATGCCCAAAGTCAGGTAGTCCTAGTGGGGTCCTAATCCTATGTTCTTAACCATCATGCCAGCTTGGCTCAAGGACAGATCTTTACTTAGGAGAGCCTGACCTTCTCTGGCAGGAGAGCCTGAGTTGAGGAGAGAGAGGTGTGCTCTAGTACTTTGTGAAGAAGACAATTCCCACTTGCTTTTCAGTTCTGCTACTGAGAGCACAGAATTGGGAGTGAGGGGAGGAGGCTTTTCTTCTGGACTCCGGAGGCTAACTCCCCATTCCTCTCATGATAGTGAGTCGCGGTTCTTCTTTAAGTTAGAAACAAGTGACCAAGTGAATCATTGGTATGCCTTTGGATAAGTTTGTCTTGATTGACACTAGGCACCTGTGGCCAAAAGCAGTGCAACTTTTTCTTTCAGTTTATTGCCCACAGGCTACCTGGGAGATTGATCTAAAATGCATACTTGATCATGCCATTCCTCTGCCAAAAACTCTTGAGTGGCTCCCTCTCTGTGGGATAAACACCCTAATAAGGTAGCAAGGCCTCCCAGGACCTGGATTCTGCTGACCCCTTCAGTCCCACTTCTTTTTTTTTTTTTTTTTTAATTTTTTTTTCCAATGTTTATTTTTGGGACAGAGAGAGACAGAGCATGAACGGGGGAGGGGCAGAGAGAGAGGGAGACACAGAATCAGAAACAGGCTCCAGGCTCTGAGCCATCAGCCCAGAGCCGGACGCGGGGCTCGAACTCACGCACCGCGAGATCGTGACCTGGCTGAAGTCGGACGCTTAACCGACTGCGCCACCCAGGCGCCCCCCACTTCTGCATTCTGTTCTAGTCATGCTGCACTATCGACAGTCCCCACAGCTCACTGTTTTCTATCATTTGTAGGCTTTTCACATTCACCCCCTCTGCCCTTTTCACCCTTCAGTTGGCTGACTCGCTATTCATCCTTTAAGATCCAGCTCACTCATTCATTCAGTCATTCAACAGATAATTCGTCAAGTACCTATCAATTACCAGTCATGGTTCTAGGTATAATGGTGTAGCGGTGAATAGAACAGACTCATCCCTGCCCTTTATGGAGCTTCTGTTGTGTAGTATATATTAAACAAGTATAATCTGGATGATAAGTGGCATGGAGAAGAGAGCAGAGAGGGGATAGAGAGGGGCAGGGGAGTTGTCAGGAAAAACCTCATAGATTAGATGACATTGGAACAGGGCTGAAGGAGTTTAGGGAGTGAACTCTGTGGTTATGTGAAACAAGAATGTTCTAGGCACAGAGCACAAGGATATGAGGCAGGAGTTCACTTGACTCAGTTTTTTTCTCTCCAGAAACCCTCCACTGCCCTGATCTAGACAGATCCTTTTTCTGTTTTCCTACACGCTATCATGTTGACCTCTAATGTGGCACTTATTGCATGATACTGTAATTGTCCCTGTATGTCTGTCTCCCTCACTTGGATGTGGGCAGGGACTTCTGATTCCTTTTTGTCGCCTCAGCACCTACCTTTTGGCCTGACTTGGAGTGGGCACCCAGAAATATTTACTAAATAAATGAATAAGGCCTTCTGGGCCTCATTTTTATAGTCTGATAATTTTTACAAGTGATTTATATGAAAGGGTTTGAATGACAGATAGTGAAAGATAAAAAAATTCTAAGCCTGCTTCTGTCTGGCTTGATTCCCTTTTTGGGCCTCTGAGAAGTAGAACCCCTGATTTCTTTGAGAAGTGTACCTGCAGACTTACATTTTCAGCATTATGACAGGCTAGCTAACCTGTAACATTGTAGACAAAATATAATAAAGTCCTTTATAGCTGAAATTGCAAGAAAGTAAGAGAAATTCCCAGGGACCTAGAAGCCAAGAGTAAACTGAAAACCAGACTAGTTAGCCCTGTAACCTGACCTCAGTTGCCCTGGATGTTTGCTGCTCTCACTTACCTAGAAGTTTGGGCTTTAGTAGACCTGCTGTTGCAGTGAATGAAACTGTGGGCCCACATGGTGTAGCGGAACTAAGATCGCTGCCTGAAACTAGGTCCCTTGAAAGTCTGCACCTGCTGGTATGGTGGACTAGGTAAAAAGAATTCTTTTTGCTGACACAGAGAGATGATAAAGATTGCCTCTTATCCTAGGCTCTAATAGAGGGGGAAAGTTTCCCCAGAGAGTTCTTAACCACAGGCTTTTCCTCATATGGATTTGGATTTATATTTATATTATCTGAATGGCCTAAAATCTCCATTTGACATGGGAAACCACCCAGGCTGGTAATACCCCTGGATGCTTGGCAGCAGCCCATGTAGAATCTCTGTAAAGACATACTTGACACAGGCTGCATAGGATTTCCCCAGAGTGTGGAGGATAGATTTGTTCAATGAGCATGTGTATTGCTTGCTTTGTGCTATTGAGACCATGGTGTTACCTTTGGACAAAAAAGTAAACATTTGAGTACATCCGTGCCTCCCTGTGTGTGATCTTCAGAAATAGAATGATAGAGCAGAACTTGTGCACAGGCCAGCATTTGGATATGGCCCCACATTTAGCTGCCTCCTATCCTTGCAGAGGTCATGGAAGAAGTGACATCGTGCTCCTTCAGCAGCCCTCTGTTCCAGCAGGAAGACAAGAGAGGGATCACCTACCGGATCCCAGCCCTGCTCTACATCCCCCCCACCCACACCTTCCTGGCCTTTGCAGAGAAGCGCTCCACGAGCAGGGATGAGGATGCTCTCCACCTGGTGCTGAGGCGAGGGTTGAGGACTGGGCACTCGGTACAGGTGACTCCTCATCCCAGATCTGGCTCTCAGCCTCAATCTCTCTCCACATTGCTTAGAGCACTTCAGGGCCTGTGCCCTTTCCCATCTGTGCTGGAAGAACCCTGCGTGGGAGATGAGGAAGAAAAAAAGAAACAGTAAAAGCAACGGCTCTCACTCACTTACTGAGTACTTCCTGTGTGCTAGGTGCACATTAGATTCTCGATAACCACTCTGTTGTGACATAGGCACGGTTGTCAGTCACATTTTGCAGATGAGGAAACTGAAGCTCAGAGAGGTTGCCACTTTGCTCACAGTCACATAGCTGTAATAAAACAGCAGAAACAGGCTTTAAATTCCATCTCTGATTCCAGAGGCCTCCACGGTTCATTCAAATTCAGCTAACATGTGGTGTGTTTTTCATTCACATTTTCTTTTGTTCTTATAAGTCATCCAGGGAAGGAAGGAAGCATCGTTAGTCCAGTTTTCTGATCAGGGATCCTGGTATTCCAAGAGATAGGTAGCTTGTTCAAGACAACTAGCAGATGGTGGGGGCAAGGATAACAACAATCCTCCCCCTTCTGCATGGTTTATGTGAGGTGCATACTATCCCCATCGTAAAGGAGGAAATGGGATTAAAAGTGGTTTGCCTCAGGGGTGCCTGGGTGGCTCAGTCGGTTAAGCGGCCGACTTCGGCTCAGGTCATGATCTCACGGTCCATGAGTTCGAGCCCCGCATCGGGCTCTGTGCTGACAGCTCAGAGCCTGGAGCCTGTTTCAGATTCTGTGTCTCCCTCTCTCTGACCCTCCCCCATTCATGAGCTGTCTCTTCCTGTCTCAAAAATAAATGTTAAAAAAAAAAAATTAAAAAAAAAAAAGTGGTTTGCCTCAGACACACACCTACTAAGCAGCAGAGGTGGGGATGGAGCCCTTGCCCCTAAGTAGCACATTTTTACTGCATTTTTCGAGAGCAAAGAATGATTGCTGCCCTTGGGCCTGTGAGTATAGGGTTATTTCAGATCCCATTTTTCTTTTCTCTTGCAGAGCTGGTTGAAGTGAGGATCAGATGAGACCATGGATTTGAGAGCCTTTTGTAAACAAACATATATATCTTTATAATAGGCACTCTAATCCTGCTGGTTTTCTACTCATGGAGATATCACCATGAAAACATTACCTCTATAGGGATGACTTTTTTTTCTTCTTCTTTCTTTTTTTGCTATTACAGCGCAAATGCTTTTCTGCTGAATGTGGGCCTTGCCAGCAACCCCTGTCTCTGCTCTGGATGACTTGCTCACATCTCCTTGTGGGAATGATTTTTACTTTAGGGAACTTTCAGTCCCTGCTCTTTCACCCATCTTGTCATGAGCCTTCCTCATGGCTGCTTCATAGGACCACACCTCTGCTTGTATCATTGGCCTCCAGAGAGGCCCAGTGGGGGAGCCTACCTTGGAGTTCTAGTTTTTTATTCCCTCCAGGACAGGCATTGCCTGCTGTCGTGTTGCCCTGCTTTCTATTGCAAACAGTTAGGCTGTTGAGCACTTTTTACTGGACCATGCTTGTTGTGTAACCTCAGAAACGTTCACAGATGTGTCCACTTGAACTCATTCTCCCTTCTCTGTATTTCATCCCTTCCATTCTCTGATTTATCTGTCTGTAGAATCTTGAAGTTAGAAGAATCATCAGCCTAGCTTCTTTCCCAGTAAAGAGATCTTCTGTATTCCCTTGGTAGCTACTAATATCTTAGGGGTTAAGAACATGGCTTTGGAGTCAGGCAAGACCTACCATTTATTGGCCATGTGACCTGGGACGTTTGACTCTTCTCTGTTTCATCATCTATAAAATGTAATTAATAATAGCAATTGCATAGTAGGAATTCAACATTAGTCATCTTCTACAAAGGATCTGCTTACACAACTCCTCAGATGAGGAACTTAATCCTGTGGCAACTGTTAACTTTTGTTTTTGGAGTGAGACAACCTGTACTTCTCTATAATTACCCATTGGTCTTGTTCCAGCTTCTGGGACATCCGATCTATACATAATAGAAAGTCCCTTTTCCAGAGAATGCTCTTTGATGTACCTGAAAGCAGTATTCATACATTCTGAGTCTTTTGATTTGGGTGCTTGCCAGCTTCATTCTTTTAGTGGCTCTTAAGACCACAGTCTTGATTTCGTTTCTGGGCCCTTGAAAGCTGTGATTACTGTCTTTGGGATTTGATTTGGAATGTCAGTGTCCTTTTTCAAAGAATGGTCCTTTGAATTTAGGGCTCTAAGGATAGACTGACCAGCTCAGCAATGAGGTGGCTATCCTGTTTTTTATCCTTTTAATGCAGTCTTTTAATACATAAAGTAGCATTTGTTTTTTTGGCAGCTGCATAATACAGTTGACTAATGTTAAGTAGATCATCAGCTAAAACCTCTTAATCTTTTTCACGTTTGCTGATTTAAAAAAAATACATTATATATATTTTTTATTTAAAAAATTTTTAATGTTTATTTAAACATGGACCGCGAGATCATGACCTGGGCCGAAGTTGGATGCCCAACCGACTGAGCCACCCAGGTGCCCCCCCCCAAATTTTTTTAAATTGTAGTAGGATAGAGGCTCCTGGGTGGCTCAGTCATTAAGTGTCCGAGTTCGGCTCAGGTCATGACCTCATGGTTTGTGAGTTCGAGCCCTGCCTCGGGCTGTGTGCTGACAGCTAGGAGCCTGGAACTTGTGTCAGATTCTGTGTCTCCCTTTCTCTCTCTGCCCGTCCTCCGCTCACACTCTGTCTCTCTCCCTCTCAAAAATAAATAAACATTTAAAAATTTTTAATCGTAGTAGGATATACCTAAATTTTCCATCTTAACCATTTTAAGTGTACATTGCAGTTTTGTTAACTATAGGCACATTGTGGTGCAACAAATCTCTGCAATGTTTTCATCGAGACTGCTGCTTTATACTCTTTGGACAACCCTCATTTCCCCCTGCCCCATCTGCTAGCTACCACCATTCTTCCTTGTTTTTATGAGTTTTTAGATACTTTGGATACCTCGTGTAAGTGGAATCATACAGTAGGTGTGTTTTTTTTGTGATTGGCTTATTTCACTGAGCATAATGTCCTGAAAGTTCATTTGTGTTGTAGTGTGTGACAAGATTTCCCAGGCGCCCCAATGCTCCTCTTTAAAATGTTTATAACGTGGAGTGGTAACACATATGTAGAAAACATAACATAAATGTCAAATGTACAAAACATGGATGTCTGCTCTGTGAACTGACAAAGCCAACACTTGTGGACTCATCACTTAGCTCAAGAAATAGAATACTACCAGTACCTCAGAACCTTCTCTTATCCCCCCTCTCTTTCCCAGAGATAATTACTATCCTTATTTATAGCTCTGGAGTTTAGTTTTGCTTGTTTTTAATCTTTATTCTTTATGTTTGGCTTCTTTTGTTCAGTATTTTTGAGGTTTATCTGAACTGTTGTGTACAGGCTTCTCAATATTCTTGTACATGTTTTTGCTAATACGTGCATGCATTTTTGCTGGACTTATGCCTAGAAATGTCATTACTGGATCATAGGGTATGTTTATGTTCCCCTTCAGGAGATAATGCCAGCCAGTTTTCTAGAGTGGTGGTTGTGAAGGCTAGTCTACTTCAGTTTCACCCTTGCTCTGCATTTAGCTCTTTAAAGTTCCATCTTAAAGCACGGGGGGTTACCAGGGCCCCAAATTTTTGTCCTTCTAGCCCCATAAGGCTGTCAAACAAATTGTTCAGCTTCTCAGCTTTTCAGTTATCTCTTTGAGAATTAGCAGAGATACCCTGAGAGGAAAAAGGACTTGAAATACCAGGCCAACCTCTCTGAATGAACTTTTCTCAGTTCTTGGCCTATAATTCCTCATTGTCTTGTTTCCTCCCTGATGCTTTTAGCCAGATGTTTTTGTCTTAATATTTTATCTGTCATCTCCAGTCTCAATGGAAATGTTGGTTCAAATTACCTAGTTCGCTGTTACAGGAAGTCCTTTTCCTCCATATTTCTGATGCAAAAAGTAGCATGCTGCATGCACTGGTCTGTACTTTGCTTTGTTCATTTAACAATATGTTAGGGAGATCTTTCCATCTCAAGGTATAGAGGCCTTCCTTTTTCTGTTTTCATCTCTTGCATTGTGTGTTCATGTAACCAGTCCCCTATTGATGAATATTTGGGTTCATGATATTTTGCTTTTCCAAGCAATGCCACAGTGAGTAATCTTGTATATACTTAATTTGATGAGCAGATATACCTTAGGATAAATTCCCAGAATTAGGCATGCTGGGAAAGGATGAATGCATCTGGAATTTTGATATGCCCTACATAAATGTTGAAGCATTTTACACTTTGGTCCATATAAGAGAGTACCTGTTTCTTCACATTTTGCCAACAGAATATTGTCAAAGTTTATGCTGTTGCCAGTTTGTTAGATGAAAGGTACTACATCAATTTTAATTTTAATTTGCTTTTCTGTTTTATGTGTGAGGTTGCACATGTTTTTGTTGTTTTTTCCTCTTTCTGTGAGTTGTCTGGTCTTCCTCTTTGCCCATTTCAGATGGGTTTCTGGATTTTTTTTTTTTTTTACCAATTTATAATACAGTTTAAAAAATCTATTAAGGAGATTAGGCCTTTCTTTGTAATATGTCTGAGTAGGCATTATCTCATTTTAGCCTTACAGCAACTCCTGTGTGAGCATGTTGTTACATTTTCCACTTCATTGATAAAGAATTTGAGGTAAAGTAAGTTCAAGTAACTTGCCTGAGGTCACACAATGAGTGATGAAGGCTGGTTTGAACTAGGTATCTCTGACTCCATGCTTGAGTTTTTAATGCCAGTGTTATGAATTGCCTCCCCATGATAGTAGAGGAAGGAAAAACTCTTTGTTTTAAATTTCCCTTTATTTGCCTAAATTTCATATTTGTCCACTTTGCTTTACTTCATTTCTTTTCTTTTTCTTTTTTTTTTTTTTCTACCTCCTTCTACTTTTCTTGGTTTTTCTTTCTTTTAAAAAATATTTGTTTAGCTCCTATCATGTGCTGGGTACTCCTCAAAAGACTCATAATCTAGGAAGGGAGCCAGTCACACAAAAAGGATGATTATTATATAATAAGTTCTATAACTCTTCTGTGTGTACAAAGAGGAAGCTACCAGTTGCTTTGGTGAGAAGAGGGGAGCAGAGGAAGTTCATAGAAAGCTTTACAAAGGAGGGGACTTTTGAGTTTGGAGGGTGAATTGGGCATCTAGACAAAGTGAGGAAGTGTTCTAGACAGAGGGGACAGCTTATACAATATCTAGCATTGCCTCTTCCCAGCCTTATAAATCATCCTGTAATGTTTGAGAATTTAGTGAATACTTGAGCCTTCATGATTTCATAGATTTTAATATCATTTCTTTCTTATCACTGAAAAAGACTAATGCTTTTAATGAGCCTCATGTATTCCTATTAGTCTCTCACTCCTGCTCTCTCCCCCTTCCCCTTGTCTAGTGGGGACCTTTGAAGCCACTGATGGAAGCCACATTACCTGGGCATCGGACCATGAACCCCTGTCCTGTGTGGGAGCAGAAAAGCGGCTGTGTATACCTATTCTTCATCTGTGTGCGAGGCCATGTCACCGAGCGTCAGCAGGTCATGTCAGGCAGGAATGCAGCCCGCCTCTGCTTCATCTGCAGTCGAGACACTGGCTGTTCATGGAGCGAGGTGAGGGACTTGACTGAAGAGGTTATTGGTGCAGAGGTGAAGCGTTGGGCCACATTCGCTGTGGGCCCAGGTCATGGCATCCAGCTACAGTCGGGGAGGCTGGTCATCCCTGCATATGCCTACTACATCCCTTACTGGTTCTTTTGCTTCCGGCTACCATGTAAAGCCAAGCCTCATTCCCTGATGATCTACAGTGATGACCTAGGGGCCACATGGCACCACGGCAGGCTCATTCAGCCCATGGCAACAGTGGAATGCGAAGTGGCAGAGGTGACTGGGAGGGGTGGAAACCCCGTGCTGTATTGCAGTGCCCGGACACCAAACAGGTGCCGGGCAGAGGCTTTCAGCGATGACCGTGGTGAATGCTTTCAGAGACTAGCCCTGAGCCGACAGCTCTGTGAGCCCCCGCATGGCTGCCAAGGCAGTGTGGTGAGTTTCCGGCCCCCGGAGATGTTATGTGGGTGCCAGGACCCTAATGGCAAAGATGCTTCTACCATTCAGCAGAGCCCTCTACTGGACAGATCACTAAGGCTAGAGCAAGAAGCTGGAGCACTGTCTGAATCATGGCTCTTGTACTCACACCCAACCTGTAAGAAGCGGAGGGTCAACTTAGGCATCTACCTCAATCAGACCCCCTTGGATGCTGCCTGCTGGTCCCACCCCTGGATCTTGCACTGCGGGCCCTGTGGCTACTCTGATTTGGCTGCTTTGGAAAAGGAGGGCTTGTTTGGGTGTCTGTTTGAATGTGGGACCAAGCGAGAGTGTGAGCAGATTGCCTTCCGCCTGTTTACAGACCGAGAGATCCTGAGCCATGTGCATGGGGACTTCACCAGCCCTGATAAGAACCCTGAGCCAATTGAAAGCTAAAAACTGACTTAGGACCCAATTTTCCATGGAAAGAAACCACAGAAGGCAACCACAGCCAGGATAATGGAGGCCAGGTTAACAGAAGTTATTGAAGCCTACAGAGAATCCAAAAACTTAATATTGTGCTCCCTACCTTTTTTCCTTCTCCTCCAAGGAGCAAAATGAACATTTTTCCATAGCTACTACAGTGGAAAGAACTATGAGTTGGGAAACCATGATGTGGTCCTGGTTGTGCCACTGTCTTGCTGAGGGATGTTGAACATATCACCTGAACTCTCTGGGCGTCAGGTCTCCATTTGTAAAATGAGAGGATTGGTTCTGGGATTTTTCTTCTTCTCATTTCTAGGAAAGACAGAGTGTCTGCATGCTCCATGATCAGCAAATTCTGGCTCCGTAGCAGACTCTGATCTCAAAAGGGAAGTCAGAGGGCTCATCATTTCCAATGACTCACCACTCATCCAGGTGTGAGGCTACAAGCAGGTGTTCTGGCATGAAGGAAGATCTGGATGTTTTGTTCTGTTCTTAATAACAAACACACACACACACACCCTTTTAATCATGTTTAGAACTCTATAGGTTCTCCGTCCTAGAGGAATTGGGCAAAACAGTAGGATCATGAGGTCACCTACCTTCTCCAGCTTTGCAGCTGTGTTCAATCTTCCTTCCTTATCTGGAATGCTTACTCCCTAAGGAGAAAATGAGAAGCTCAATGCCAGTGGCCCTTGATAATGGCACATATTTTTTTAAATTTTTTTTTAACATTTATTTATTATTGAGAGAGAGAGACACACACACACACACACACACACACACACACACACACACACACACACACAGAGCATGAGCAGGGAAGGAGCAGAGAGAGAGGGAGACACAGAATCTGAAGCAGGCTTCAGGCTCTGAGCTGTCAGCACAGAGGCCAACGCGGGGCTTGAACTCACAAACTGTGAGATCATGACCTAAGCCAAAGTCAGTTATTCAACGAACTGAGCCACCCAGGTGCACATATTGTTTCTGATGGCATTACTTTTATGGAAGATGAACCTGAAGTTCATTTACTAGGATGGTTCCTGATGAGAAAAGGACATGGATTAGGACTTTAAAGCATTGGACAGAACTTCCCATGGTCTCTGCCCTCAAGGAGCTCACAGTTTATGGGGCTAGAAGTGGGAGAAAATTCAAGAAGATCAAGGCAGCTAGTTTGTAGATGTTGGGCTTTAAGTTGAGGTGATGGTAGCTCTTGATGTCATTGTCTTAGTTGCATCTTCATTGTGCTTGGAGTCATCTGCCCCAGGGCTTGACCAGGCTTCTGGGTTTCCCCCAGGCCCATTTTTCTCAGAATGTTCTGGCCTAGCCACTTCTTTACCCATGGAGGATGTCTTTAGGAAGACCATTAGGAAGGTCTCTGGACCTCAGACCTCTGAATCAGGCCTGTTTTTTTGGACCTGCTACAAATACTGTTTGTGGAGTAGGGCTGCCTCTTTGTCTGATAGGTTTGGGGCTAAACTTTGCCAGTGGTGGGTCTCTCAGATGATACCAGATTGGTTGTTCTTATTTTAGATTCTTTCCCCATAGCCTATTATTGTAACAGAAATTCTATCATGAGATACTTGGTTTTCCTCCCTATTTTAGGAGAAAAATACCTTGTATCAGAGAACTATATTTGGTGCTGAGTAATGGCCCAGAGAGCAAGTGTTAGTCTTGGAGCATAGCCTAGGAGGCTAGGGGTTGGCGGTTGCCCCAGTCCCATGGGGAAGAGTCGTGCAGGATGAAAGCAGAGATTAACTTCACCTACTCCTGCATATGGCTTAAGTCCATGGCTTAGAGTGACTTCTTAAAATTCCCTTAGCCTCTCAGCCATTTGTCAAAGTTATTCTCCCAGCACACAGTTATGATCATTCATTCACTCATTTGTACATTTACCTAAATATTCTTGAGAGCCTTGCATAATGTAAGGTGCTTCCTATTGACATTCCCTGGTTGAAAATTATTTGTGGCTCTTCATCGCCTGCTAAAGGGTGTCTACATTTTGTCTGGCATGTAGGGCTGCCAGTTGTTGGGTGGGGTAATGAATACTTATCTCTCCTTCATATGAATCCCACTGTCAGAGAAGACCTCTGTCGAGATGGCAGTGGAGGGGGTGACAGAGCTGCTGGTATAGGGAGGAGCTGGGGAAGGGCAACCCTCTCCTGAGTAGTAGTAGAAACTTCCTGTTCTGCAAAGCTTTCCTGAACACCATCCCCAAATAGATGGGAACAGGGGGGTGGCTCCGTTCTCCAACAAGGTCTAAGGGATGGAGAAAATGAAAATATCAAGACTTCTTTGGAACCATCCAAGGAGGGACCTCAGTCACATGCCAGTGTGGACCACAGCCGTCCAGTACCAGCACTCATTGGATGTCTTCTCCATCTCTGAATTGCCCTTCCCTTTCTCCTTCCCCTTTGCTTCATGTTTGCTTCTCCTTAGTGATTAGCAGTGAAACTCCTCATAGGCAAAGGGCCTGTGTGTATATTTCAGGAATAGCAAGAAAAGAGGGTTGAGTAATCCGACATTTGTAATCCAATTACAGAAGTAATCCAGAATGAGGATTAGGGAGAGGAACAGAGTGGGCAGTGGTGGCTCTGAAGCAAAAGAGCGGCAGGGGAGGAGTCCTGGCACCTTAAGGAAGAGAGAGAATGTGGCACAGATAGAGACAGAGGCTGGAGAGATGGTGTAGGTGGAGGCCTCTGTGAAGAAGAAATGATAACAGGCTGGAGCTGTTTCCAACACGTATGGAAAGGGAAGGAGGCCTGCATGGGCCCACAGTTCAGGCTACAGATAAGTTCCTGCCCAGCCCTGTAACTTTAAGCTGGCTCAACTTGTCCATGTTCCACGTGACTAACAAAAACAGCTGGAGGCACTCCAACTCTGTGCCAATTACCCAAGCCTTCGGGGCCCTGGGTCCAATGCCATGATACTGGTATCCTAACTAAGCCCATTTCTAGCCCTTTCAGGTTGGTAGAATGAAAAATATTGGGCAGGTGATGGCAGCTGTGAAGGAAAGAGGACAGCAGACTGGAGGCCTCTAAGCTAGAAGCGTGAAGAGAGGACTAGAGAGGCTGTGGTCCTTTGCCTGTAGATGTTCCCCCCCTGTCTTGGGACCCTTAGAATGGATCCATCCAGCACACATGGCCCATGTCTGGGAGTGCAGGAAAGCATAGGTAGGGACCTCCTGCTGCTGATCTGTACCCAGATCATCTTCCGATCCCTTCAACCTGCTGGTGCTGCTCATGCTCCCCAACTCCGGATGCCCTCACTCCTAGGCCACTATTATGTACTTCAGGCCCTCGTTATTTGGATGCTATATTCGGACCTGTTTCTCCTGGTCACCAATCCCCCCCTCGTATCCATGGGATATCATGCAACTGCAGCCACAGATCAGAGACATGGCACCCTGTCTGTTGGGTAGCCCGAGGAACCCATAGAGGTCAGCCTAAGGCTGCGCAGCCTCCTTTCCAGGGTAGTAGGATTCAGTGCTTCCATTTCAGCCAGATTAGGCTGCTCAGGCTTCTTCAGTAGGCTGTGAGTTTTCCCCACTGCATTAGTCAGTAGATGTCATGCCATCCTCTCCTGTGCTGCCAGAGTGCACAGTGGAAGCCTCCCTTTGGTCATCACCACAGCTTGCCATGTATTTCTGTTGTTGTGCCCTGTAGGCCTCTGCGAGGCTCTGAATTCCTTGAGGGCCAAGTCTCTATGAATCCTCCCTCTGTCCTTTTTACCTTGAATCACAATGGTTGCTTTATAAATATATGCTTTTTTCTATTATATTCTGAATTCCCTGAAGGTAAGGACTGTGTCCGATTCTTCTCTCTGTCCTCTGTACCTGGCACGGGGCCTGTCACAGAGCCTGGCACAGAACAGACAGCAGTAAAGTTTCACTGAACGAATAAATGAGTCAAAGATCCTTGGCCTTCTGGAGCTAAGAGACAAGGCCAGGGCAAGCTCCCCCACAGGGAGAAGCATACTGTATCCCCTGTAGATTGGATAGTGTTCTAAACTTGCTGAGCACTCACTAAATTAGTCTTCTCTATTCTGGCTTGCTTCCAGGTCATCCCGGATGTCCCAGGATGACAGCATAAGACTGAAGCTAAGCCTTGACTTGGGGTTGTCATTTCAGTGGTATTTCCCTTCTGTCCCTGATTGGAGTGTCTATAACTGCCTGTCAGAGGGGGGTGCTCTGGTTCAGTGTGGTCTGAGCATGTCTTGGCTCCGTGATACCAAGTGCCAGAAGTGCCCTCCGTACCATAGAAACTACCAGGACTCTGAAACAAAGAACATGAATAAAGAGCCTGATTCCGATGACTGCTGTTTGTTTTGTTGTCGAACAGTGAGATGATTATCCTAATACTTCTGTCTAATTTGTACCCAACTTCTTTTGAAAAATGGATTTGACTTTTCCTAAGGACTTTTCTTGCTTTTCCTAAGGACTTTTACTTTCAGAAAGCTTTACTAATAATCTTTGTACTTGGGGTGCCTGGGTGACTGAGTCGGTTAAGCGTCCGACTCCTGGTTTCGGCTCAGGTCATGATCTCACAGTTTTGTGGGTTTGAGCCCCGCATTGGGCTCTGTGCTGGCAGTGCAGAGCCTGCTTGAGATTCTCTCTCTCTCTCTCTCTCTCTCTCTCTCTCTCTCTCTCTCTCCTCCCCCCGTCCCCCCCACCCGCTTACCCTGTCTGTCTCAAAAATAAATAGATAAACCTTAAAAAAATACAAAAAAAATTATCTTTGTATTGTACACATTGTCACTGGAACATAGTTACTTGCCTATTGCAGGGGTGGGGGGAAACAGGGCAGAGATTACCATAACTGGTTAGATTGTGTATTACACAGTAACTACTAAGTGATTAAGTGAGGGAACTGGGATACACAGAATCACCCCATCTGACACCAGCCCCGGTGCTGGTCACTGCACATCTTACGTCTTTTTGCAAAAAACCCTGAGATTTTTAATACCAAATTGTAGCTGGCGAGGCCACAAATACCTCAGTGAAGTGGGGTGATAACCTTAACTCATGACTCATACTTAACTTTGTACTCTGCTTTCTAAAACAAATAGACCATTGAAAAAGTTTTAAATGGGCATCTCTTTCATCATAACACAGAGTCATAATGTTGAAAGAATAAATGTAGAGAACTGCTAATTTACCCCTTACAAATAGTTTTATAATAGTTATTGATACATTTTTAAAAATCCAATGATCGATTTTATTTTTGTGTGTTTTGTTAGATTGCTTAACATCTGGGGACCTTTGCGCTTGAGAGGAATACGCGCTACTCCATGAACTTCAGCACTCAATTTTTCAAGCTCGTATTCACTAAAACATTGAATGCCTCTTGAATATCTAAACAATAACAAATTTGTTTAAACTGCCTTCAACAGAAATATCAGTTACAAATTTAGTATAGCTGATCCTTTTGAGCATTTCAAGCACCATAAATAGTATATAAAACATAAATAAGTCCAGTGATTGTAAAAGATTCCCTTATCCCAAAATGGAGTACAGAAGAGCTGATGCCATAGATTTAACTTTGTCGGTTACTATTATGGTTACACCTTTGGGGAGTTCTAATTTTTAAACCTCCCCAGAGTTTTAATGACTTCATCAGGTTCCCCTCCTCGCCCCCACACACCTTCCTAGCTATTTAGTAATAGCATATCCAAAGGGAAACGAGTACCATTTAAGACAAGTACTATTTCCACTGGGAGCATTTACATGTGAGGTTGGAGGCCTGGAATCACAGACAGCTGGCTTCTCCTCAGTGGGTGGAGAATACCTG